CCCTGGCCTAGGGCTCTGAAGCCTGCAGGCTTGAGATTTAAATTGCCCTCCAAAACAACCCAATCACCACCATCAAGTCGATGTTGACTCATCATGAGCCCCTCCAAAGACTGTAACCGTTCACAGGAGGAGAAAGCCTGACTATAGAAGCTTTCTACTCCTGCAGCTCACAGCCCAACTAGTAACCTCCATTCCACCGGGGCTTCTCTGAATTGTCCCAGGCTGTTGAAACCATCCCTCCGGGCAGCCTGCCGCTCCTCTTGCTTCTGCAGCCTGGCCTCTTCCCTCCTGCCTGCAGCTCTCCATCTCTGTCAGCAGTTGCCAGCAGAGGATACTAAGGAACACTGGGGAGTTCCAATTCCCAAACCACTTACTCCTTCTCCCTTCTCCCACCAGAAGGGGGAAAGGGAGAGGCCAGAGGAGAAAACCTGAGCAGTTAGTTGCCTGTCAGAAAGGAGCGCTGAAGCCCTTCCCACCCTCTTCTCCTTCACCTGAAGAAGGTGGTTGTAAAACTGGCCCTGATACTCAGCCTTAGCTGAGCACTTGTCCACTTGAGTCATTTGAGTCTGGCTCCATTGGTCACCGCCTCAGTGTCTGGTCACGACAGTCAGCCACTTTCTCAGTGCCTGGCCATTGACAGGTAGGCCATCAACCACACTTTAGATCCTGAGGGCATTGCTATCAAATGGACTTCATCTCCTAGGGACCCTGTAGAGCAGAGTAGAACTGTCCGTGTGGGTTTCAGAGACGGCCACTCTTTACGGGAGGGGGAAGCCTCACATTTCTTCCCATGAAGAGACCAATTTATAACCTACTGTGCCACCCTGGGCTCTTCTACTGCCCCGCAGCAAAGTGGCTAGATGTCTAACCTCAGCCGGGTGCTGTACTAAAGGATCAACAACGCTTCACACCTGCCCCCACCCCTGCCCCTTGTCCTGCCTTCCAGGGCCTCTAACTAGTAGGTTCCAAGAAGAGTTTCCGAGAAGGGTCTAGCTGGATTCTCAGCCCCTCTATAAGGGACATTGTCAGTTCTGGCTTCAGGGGAGGGAACATGCCAGGAAGGGCTTTAGCGTGTGCTGTGTGGGGCGGTCCTGGGGGGAGGCTCATGGACACAGTGATGCTCTCTCTACAGGGGAAGAAACATGTGGTTTAGTGTGTGCTGTGTGGGGTGGTCCTTGGGGGAGGCTCATGGACACAGGTTGGAGGAGGAAGATACAATTTACTGGATCGTGAGGGCAGATTAGTGTGAAGTTGCTGTGGGACATTTATAAAGATGAGTGTGAGTGAAAAATGATCACTACAAAATAGAAACTTTCATTAAAACATGAAGCCCTTGTTTCTGATGTAGCCTCTATTCAGACCTACCCAACTGGGGTGGTGGGGTGGTGTTGGTGTTGGTGTGTGTGTTAGTGCCTAACTGCTGCCTGCGGGGATTCTATGAGCTTTGTTTACCCATGTCAGAATGGCAGGGGTTCAAGTCATGTTCTCATTCAATGTTGTCCGAGTTTGTGGAACAGAGACAAGTCTGAAGGGGCCAAACCAGAGCTGTAGGGTAGATGGGGTGAGGCTTCCCAACAAAATTCCCATGGGGTCAGCCCTTGCTGCCTTCCATGGATGTCAGGATGGGAAGAATTCCCAGACACGGCTTTGGCTGGCCTCTTTCTAACCCACGCAGTTTCCACGTTCTGACCTCTTCTGGATGAGCCTGTGCCTCCCCAGAGAATCAGTCAAGGTCACCCCATTGGAATCCCCGGAAACAGTCACCATACCTTTTGGGCTTCCTGTCTGGAATGTACCTGGCCGTCCATCTTCTCAGAGGCCACTGCTTTCATTGGGCTTCCCCCCCACCCCCACCCCCACTCCCAGGCATGTTAATGAACCCAAGAGAAGTTGTTCCCAGCCAGGGGCCAGCAGAGCTCAGAGACGTGCCCAAACACATCTTGTTTGGAATCCACTGGTGCATGTAGGAACTGGAACCCTAGTTAGTGATGCGTCTGGCGTGCCGAGATTTGAAGAAGGGGTTGGGAGCTAGCCAGCAGAGAGAAGGTTGCCTAGGGGAGCAGCTCTGAGGCCTGAACTCTGCACAGAGACCCCCCACAGCATGTAGCTCTTCAGCCCTCCTCTCTTCCCCCTCCCTCTCACCCCCTGGCTTTCAGCCATCCTGTTTCTCGCCCAGGGTACCCCCTCCCCCCCTTCCACCGAATCCAGACTGGGACGAGTTAAAACTAGTGAGAACACACCCCGCAGAGAGGCAGAGAGGCAGCCCGAAGGGCCGGCAGCTGCGACTTCCGTTTCCTGGACCGAGTGAGAGTCTTTGTCTCCAGCGTCCACTCCCACGTCTCTGGCAAGATCTTCACTTGCTGGGCTGGACAGTCCCTTCCTGAGACACCAATCAGTGAACCCCTGGGTGCCCAGGGGAAGAGAGGTGAGGAGGGGGACCCTGCTGAGGGGATCACGGTGAGTGCAGCTTGCGGAAGCGCTTGTGTGGGGGCTGGCTAGCTGCCCCCAGCTCCAAAGAGAGGCTGGCCCAGGGAGCTCGTGCCCACCCCCCTGTGATGTGTGCTCCTCTGGCGTTTTCTGGTGTCTGCCCAGAACCTCAACCTACCTGTGCCATCCGCTCCAACCCTCAGTATTCCCTGCTCTCCTCCCCCAACCGCTTGGCCTTCTTAGGTTACCTTCTGCTTCTGTTCTGCTGGGGTGTGGGGGTGTGGGGTGGCTTGTGAGGGCCTAGAAGGCCACCTCTGGGAGTAGATTCTCTGAGGAGCATACTGCAGAGAGTGGGTCCTCTGAGGGTGGGGGGAGTTCAGGGAGTGAGGGTTAGCAGAGAGAAGGTGGAGAGGGAGGGCGGGATCTGGATTCAAGGGGCGGGAACCAGTGGGGTTTGCTGAGGGCAGTGGCCAGGAGACAGTTTGTGTCTGTCAGGTTCAGTGGGGGAGGGGGGGGGAGAAATGGAGGGGAGGGCTTACCTCCTAACATGCCCTTGTGTTTTTGCCCACAGACTAGTCATGGCATCCATGGGCTCGGGAGCAGGGGTTCAGGTGAGAACGTGGACCCCGGCCTGACACTCCCTCTGTGCCTTTCCCTCTCTGGTGTGTGGGTGTGTTTCTTTGCCCTTCTGCTCTTGGGCCTGTCCTTCACCGCCTAACCCGGGCTCAGCCCTTTACTTGCTCATGCCGGGCACAGCGTGCTGCACCTGCATCCTGGTGTTGGTGAAGACGATTGGCTGCACCAGGGTCTGCCAAAAGAACAAATCAAGCTGCCTCAGAAGTGCAGCTGCGATGCTCCTTAGAAGCAAGGATGGCGAGCCTTCATCTCATGCCCTTTGGGCAGACGATCTCCAGTCCCTGCAGAGGGACATCATGCTGCCCATGGAGAAGGGCCAAGGGGAGTGTCCGTGGAAGAGAGGAGGACCCTCTGTAAGATGGACTGGTACAGTGGCAGCGATTGGGGGCCAAGCGCAGCAGCAAACGTGCAGAACCAGGGGATTTCCTGTGTGTGTGCTTCGGGTCTCTGTGAGTCAGAGCTGATGCGTCTAAGCTCATGAGGAAGCTGCGTGTTCCTTCGCCAGGAGTGCAGTGGTCAGAGGACTTGGCTAGACCCCAGGAGACCTGAGTTCTCCTTCCAGCTCTGCCATGAAGGCTACAGTCGCCGTGCCCACCGTGGGCAGACTTTCAGTTCTTGTGGGCCTCTGGTTTTCTTCCTCAAGATGACGGCGCTGGACCAGAAGATGTGAAACGTCTGTTTCTCTCTAGGTCATTTCTAACGTGACCTGCTCCTCATGCCACCCTCCTCTTCCTGTCTATCTGTCCGCCCCTCCATGACAGTGTGTCCTTCTGTGCCTCCCAGTCCCTTGGGGTCTCACTCCCATGCCGTTCCAGGGGCTGATGACCTTTGAAGAGGTGGCCGTGAGCTTCTCTCAGGAAGAGTGGGGGCGCCTTGACTCTGCCCAGCGGGCGCTCTACAGGGACGTCATGTGGGAGAACTACAGCAACCTGGCTGCTGTGGGTGAGACTTCCTTCTCTTCCCCTCTCCAGAACCCCGACCCCCGCTTCTTCGCCAGCTGCTCGCAGCCTCCGGTGCTGCTCACCCCCAGATCCCCCATCGGGACACCCACCAATGCTGAGGGTCTGAGAAGGCAGTGAGTTTTGGGTCACTGTTCTTTGCAGAGAACATTCTGGAAAGCAAAGGCATTTATTTATCGAAGGCATGGTGAATTAGAGCTCCATCTGTTCATCTAGCTGCCTCGACTCCGTTGAAACAGTGATGCTTGATCTGCTAAGGATGTTCAGAAAGCCCTGCCAGCAAGGTCCCTGTAGCAGAAGGGACAGAGAGACTTACTCTGGTCTGTCCCTCAGAGCAGAGCCACAGACGCATGAGCAGAAACAAGGCGCCAGCTGCTCTACCAGACGGCGCACTTAGGTTCACTTGTAGTTCCCTTTTAAAAAAAAAAAAACCCTCTTTTATTCATGTTGTATCTCCTCTCTCTTCCCTCTCACCATTCTTTTCTTCCACCTTCTTTCTTCATTTCCACACTTAAAAAAATTACCCTCTTAGCCATGGGGCTTTCAAACTATATTCCCACCCAGTTGCACGCACGCCCACATTTTCCCTATCACATTTTTATGACAAAGACTTTAAACATTTTGTTTCCTGAATAGTCCCCCAAAATGTGATGGGAAAACCCAGTCTTTTCTTTCTGATAGCAACATCAGGATTGTATCAGGGGTGCAGTTAATGTTCAGCATGTTTACTTCGCTTCGAAACCTAGCCTTTTCCTATCATTTTCTTTCTCAGCTTATTATGCACATTACAGGTTTTTGGTGAGGTGTTCACAGATTAGAGAGACAAGGCCTCTCTCTGCCTGTCTGGAAGTTACCTTCTGGCTGACGAGACTAGAGGGCCATGTAGAAAAACGACCTACTATGCACAGGAGGCTGACCATGCTCCACGCCGGTTAGGTGTTTCAGAGCAGGGCAGAGGGTGGTCTGTGGACCAAGGCCGGCAGCCTCTCAATGGTTTGTTACCTTTGATGCCGGGTGAGTTTGGAAAAAAATTACTCCGCTTCCCCCTCCTCCACGGTAATTAAAAGACTTGTCCTAAGGCCTGCAATCCAGGCTGACGTGTGGCATCTCCTCTGCAGCCCTCTACTCTTGTGCACTCTGGGCAGCGCTGGTCCAGGGAATGAGGGCTGTGAGAATTGGAGTGGCCACGGGTCACTGCTTAGACCTGTGGAACTGGAAAGATGGACAGAAGGAATTCCTGTGGAGAGATAAGAAGCCATGTGCGCATTCCAGGCAGGGAGAAAGGTGGGAGTGAAGGCTCAGAGGGAGATGCATCACAAGACCAGCCTCTCTGATTTGGTCAGGGTGACGTGAGAGGGTGAGGTGGTTACAGAGATAGAGCTAGACGAGTCTAACGGACTAGGTTTCCAGCTTCACCATCCATGACACTGTTCTGTGGTGGCTTCGGGCGGCCATTCTGGAATGTCGAGAGTAAACTGGGCCGCATGTGCAGGAGGTAGGCATAAGACAGGCTGGTGGGAGGGCCAGTTGTTGAGAATATGGAGCTAGCCATGGGGCTGAAGATGGTTGTCCAGATCTGATCTCTTGGCGTGTCAGAGGATAAAGGGGTGTATAGCCGTGGGTCACTCAGACGTTGTTGATCTTCGGATTATCCCAACAGGATTCCTGTTTCCGAAGCCTGAACTGATCTCCCAGCTAGAGCAAGGTGAAGAGCCGTGGGTTGCTGAAGGCCCGAGACCTCCTGATCCTGATCTCGGACCAATTTCCAACCTTTGTGCAGGTGAGAGGGCTGGGCTCCAACTACAGTAACTGAGCAGACAGGAACATTTCACGGGTGTTCAGTTCTTGGGGAAAGTAGTGAGGGAGGAGGGAAAATGAGATATACTCTTAATTTTCTTCTTCAGTCATGTGTCCTCTTACCAAGGTTCTCATCCTGCTATTAATGTCAGAGCAGTCCCACCGTGCCTGTCCCCCGGCCCTACCTTCTTCTCTTGTTTCTGTTACGCGCCTGTCCTTTCTCCAGAAGGCATTTGCCATGCATCCCTCCTCAGCCTGCAGGAGCCTGCCTCGGTTCCCATGGTGCTGCACTTGACTTCTCATCTGCAGGCCCTATGTACACTCCACACCTGCCCGAGCCCTCCAAAAGAGACCTCATGCTGGGGCAGCTACATCTCCTGGTTTGTCCATTGAGCATGCATTGTAGAAGGAACCCTGGTGGTGTAGTGGTTACACCTTGGACTGCTAACCTCTAGGTTAGCAGTTTGAAACCATCAGCTGCTCTGTGGCAACAAGGCAGGGCTTTCCCCTCCTGGAGAGCGAGCGTCTTGGAAACGCGCAGGGGCAGTTCCACCCTGCCCCACAGGGTTGCCATGCCTCAGACTGACAGGTTGGCAAGGAGCTGAGTTACAGAATGCTGAGGGCTAGAGCCAGGGGCTTCCTGCATGCGTTTTCCTGCTGCCCCGAGGAAGAATTGTGTCACTGGGGGTGAGAGACATACTTGGATTCTTTCCAGGGGTATTATGGGGTGCAGAGGTTTCTGCGTTCCCTTCCTGGCAGCTTGCTAAACTTTTGAAGAACAGAAAAATATTTGAACGGGACACCTGCTCACCGCAAATGCAGAAAGTGTAAAGAGAGGTGACAGATGTCTACCATTGTGCTGCCCAGTTGCTCTCAGTGTGGGGCCTCCCTCCCTGCAGTCAGCAGGGAGGCGAGGAAGGCCCTGGCTGACCTGTGCTGACTGCCCTGCTGCCTGCCGTGAGGCAGGGTCAGCCAGTCTCACACACCATCCTCCTTTCCTTATTCGCACACTGCTTCCGAGCATCGGAGCGTATTTTACCTCGACACATCTAGAATCAGTTGTAGCTGTAGAGATTACCGTAGGCATTATAAGCTACTGCACCCTAAGATTCTCAGCAAAATTTTCATTTCGGTTCTGTCACTTTCAATTCCAGAATTCCATTTGGTCTGTCGCTTTTTTCATTTGTAACTTTTATCTCTTTTTCGGTATTCTGTACTCGATGAGCCGACTCAATATACATAAAACTTTCCCCTTTATTCCCTCTTGTTTTGTGAATGTATTTACGATAGCTGCTTTGAAGCCTTTGCGTGGTGCGCATCACATCTGAACTTCCTGAGAGAAACCCACTGTTAGTGTTTTTTTCTTGTATTGGGGTCATACTTTCCTGCCCACCCCATCATATTTTTTTTTATTAGTGGACATTTAATGTAGCAAGCATGGATTCGGATCCTCTGTTGCCGTTGGCATCGTTGCTTCTGCTCTTGCTTGCACTGACTGTATGGTGTCTGTTTCCTCACCGTGCATGGCCACTGATGCCTCTGCTCAGTTAAAAAAACATCTTGTCCTCAGTTTGCATTTTCAGCTGTAACCGTGTGCCCGACCAGCGTATGGGTTGGCCCGCGCCTGGTCAGAAAGTATGCTTACCCACCTCAGGCCAGCCAGTCTTTACTACCCATCGTGTGCCCTCGAGATGCAGTGCCCTCGAGAATGGACCCCGAGGGCAGGCAGTTTGCCAGTTTGCCAGTTTGCCGTGGCTTTTACTCCTGGAGATGGCTGTGAGGCTCAGTCACCATGAGGCTGATGCTTGCCAGGATAGGAGCTGAGCACATGCAGACAGCCTACTGGACCAGCAAAGCAAAGCCTCCCTATTTATGGATCAAGGGTCATTTTGTGTGTCTTGTTCTCCTGGTCTTCCTGTTCTTCCCTGGCTGTATTATACTGCTGCCACCTTTTCCCATCCACTTGGAGATCTCAGGCTGCTGAGGGTTGCTGGGCTTTCTTGATTACTTGCCACCGAGCTCATGTTGTTTTTTGACAACTGCCCCAATTACACAATATGTCTGCCGGCAGAATGTTGGAATCCTTGAACTGAATGCTGATGGAACACTCCCCGTCCCCCCAAGTTAAAACATCCCAGGATTCGGGTCAAGGTCTAGAGCCCTGCTTGGCTGATTTTGATAGTAACTCGCCTACCCCCTGCCCCCCAATGTAATTATGAGCCAAATAGAATTAGGGAAGTTTAAATCTGTTTAAACCGAGTAGCTTGTTTGAGTTTCTGGTGAGGAGGCAGATCACAGAGCCTGAATTCACTGTGGACACCTTGAAGGTGTGCATCTCTACTTTTTGAACGGCTCCATTTCACACACATTTCTTAAAAAACAAACTCACTGCCAGTTCTCACTCGGACGTAGTGACCCTACAGGACAGGGTAGAACTGCCCCTATAGGTTTCTGAGACTAACTCTTTACAGGAGTAGAAAGCCTGTCTTGAGCCTGTGGAGCATCTGCTGGTTTCAAACAGCTGATCACGTGTTCATAGACTAATAGGTAGTGATTAGTGTTGGGCTGCTCACCACAAGATCAGCAGTTCAAAACCACCCTCTGCTCCGAGGGAGACCTACCAGGCTGTCTAGACTCCCGTAAAGAGTTAACAGTCTCGGAAACCCAGAGAGGCAATCCTGCCCTGCTCTGTTGGGTCCCTATGAATTGGATGAACTCCATGGCGGTGAGTTTTGGTTTTTTTAAGAACACACTTATTAAGTATTTCCTGTGTCCTTCAGTTTACTTAAGGATGAGGAAAGGGGTTTCGAGATGTTGAGCTCTGCCAGCCTCCACAAAGGGCACTTCATCAGTTCTTCCCCACTTCTAACCCCAATCTCCTCTCTCCTCCAAAGGTGCCACACCTGAAACCCCGCATGTGCTGAACGAGCGCCGGAAGGCGGGTGACGTCCGGAGCCTCCTGCCCAGTGGGGCCAAGGCCGCCCAGGAGCCGCTGGGCAAGGTTCTCTACTGGCGCACGTCGGAGGGCAAGGAGCTGATCCGCTGCCCGGCCGCCGCCTGCCAGTGGCCACCGCTTCCTCCCCCGGAGCCGCCCAAGCCGTACCAGTGCCCGCAGTGCGGCAAGGGCTTCAACCACAGCTCCAACTTCCACCGCCACCGGCGCAGCCACAGCGTGGAGAAGCCCTTCCAGTGCCCGCAGTGCAACCAGCGCCTGAGCTGGAGCTCGGACCTGGCGCGCCACCTGCGCACGCACAGCGGCGAGCGGCCCTTCCGGTGCGCGCTGTGTGGCAAGGGCTTCGGCCTGAGCTCCGACTACGCGCGCCACCAGCGCACGCACACGGGCGAGCGGCCCTTCGCGTGCGCCGAGTGCGCGCGCAGCTTCAGCCGCAGCTCGGACCTGGCCACGCACCAGCGAGTGCACACGGGCGAGCGGCCCTTCCGCTGTGCCGACTGCGGCCGCGGCTTCAGCCGGAGCTGGTCGCTGCTCACGCACCAGCGCGTGCACACGGGCGAGCGGCCCTACCGCTGCGGGGACTGCGGCAAGTGCTTCCGCATCGGGCAGGACCTGGTCAAGCACCGGCGCACCCACACCGGCGAGCGGCCCTACAAGTGCCTCGACTGCCCCAAATGCTTCAGCCACAGCGCCAACCTCATCACGCACCGGCGCGTGCACACGGGCGAGAAGCCCTACAAGTGCCCCGCGTGCGACAAGAGCTTCAGCCAGAGCTCGCACCTCATCATCCACCAGAGGGCGCACACGGGCGAGCGCCCCTACCACTGCGCCGACTGCAACAAGAGCTTCAGCAGCCGCTCCTACCTGCTGAAGCACTGCCGGGCCCACAACGGCGAGAAACCCTATGGCTGCTCCGTGTGCGGCAAGCGCTTCAGCCACAAAAACAACCTCATGACGCACCAGAAAGTGCACCGGGCCGACCGGCAGCCCGGCGGCGCCCCGCGGGGCCTGGCTGAGCCTGGGCCTGGACCCTGAGTTTTTTCTCTGATGTAGGGGGAGAGCTCGGTGCCTGGGCTGGGACTTCAACCCCCCACCTCCCCAACCATGGGAATTGCCAAGGCAAACGTGGGGGCTTAGGGAGCTCAAATGGGGTTTCTCTAGTTGCCATTTCTGGGGCTCGACCTGCCCAACTGCAGATACCCTGGGTTGCATGGTGGCTAACTGGGGTCTCGGCCCCAGGGGTCTGCTGGTCTTGCCTCAGCATATCCTCAGCAGTGTAGGTTCCCTAGAGAGCACCAGGCAGGACATCCTCAGGTGGTTGGTCTCCAGGGGATTCTCGGGGTGCACAAGATAGGAACCAGAGGGTAGCAGGTTACATGCTGCAAAGACCAATTCTGAGGATCTCTACCCCCCTTGGATTTAGTCTCTGCCGGTAGTTTTCACCTGTCATGGCCCCGGTCTTCCGCATGAATGTCGTATGGAGGGAGGAGGTGGTCTGCCCTGGAGGTCTTTGCTCCACACCCCCACCCTCCCATCCCACCCCTTCTGAGCTGTGCGGCTCAGATGCCTTCATACGAATCAGCACATCAGCCTGCCCTCCGTCCACCCAAATCTTAACCTCTTGGCCCTTTTGTGGCGCAGTGCAGGGGTTTCCATGCCAATTGTACTCCACCCTTCCCCAGCTGGTGGGAGGAATTACCCGCCCAGGTTCCCACTGGAGAGGACATGGTCATTAGCAAAGAAAAGGAAAGCCCCAAATCAACGGGAACGGAGGGTTGAAGTCAGAGACGAGCGGTGGTAGCTTTTCAGCCTCCTCTGTCAGCGCTTTGATGTTCCTAGTGGAAGAGTTACCATAAGTGGGTGAAAAGTTTCTCCCCCCCAGCCCCCTCTCAACCTCCTGCCTGCAGATTTTCCACCAGTGGAAGTTATTCCCCACTTCCACTGGACCCGCCTGGAGAGGGCTTGCCCACCGGTAACCACTCCCTGCATTGACAAGCTGCCTTTCTGCTGGAAGAGGAAAACCCGTTTCGTGCGTGCGTGTGCGTGAAGCTGCCTTTCTGCTGGAAGAGGAAAACCTGTTTCAAGCGCGCGCGCGCGCGTGTGTGTGTGTGTGTGTGCGCGCGCGTGTGTGCGCACTCGCCTGAGGCCAACAATTTTGGAAGTTAGTTGGAAGCTATTGTTTACAGGTGATGTTATCTCGGTTTTCTGATTCTCCTGACCTCCAGGAGCTACCAATATGGAGGCAGAGCCTTTTTCCTTTTAGTGCTCAGAGAGTGGTCCTTAACGCCGGCTGGCACCAGAGTTGTTCTGCCATCGTGTGGCCAAAATGGGAAACTGCATGGCCCTTGAAAGGAGCAACTGTCTCCTTGGATGAGGTCATCCATTTGGCTCAGTGGCAACAGGTTTGGCTTTTATTTTCCCCCTCCCCACAGAATTCCCTATTCGGGAGGCTTGGTGTAGGGCTTGAGACCTTGTACTTCTAAGTTCCCAGGCGGTGGGACTGCATTTTGAAAATGCTGGACAATGGTTTTGAGCTTCACCACCAGCAGTTCTCACCACAAGGCCTGGTGGTGTGTGACATGTTCTCTAGACGCCAGGGACACTATAAAAGGGTTCGTTGCCTCCCCCCAGCAATTGGGGAAAACTCAGAAAAGTGTTAGGAAACAAGAGGGGCGGAGGTCTTGCTTACCAATGAGGGATCGTAGTTTTGATTGGGGCCAAAGTGACATGGGCAAACTTGCCCTTGCCCATGCTACCACTCACTGGGATTCCATCTTCCACTGGGTAGCTTGCCTGTTCTCTGCCCCCTTCAGATCCAACTCCTGCGTAAGCTTGTCCCTAGACCTTCCCCCAGCCTGCCCTAAGCTGAAATCGTAAAAGATTCAAGTAGCATGCCTTCTAAGAGATACCTGACGTGACAAAGGAAACTGTGGCCCAGGCAGATTGCTGACAACTTTCCCTGAGGTGCTACAACTTTAGACACGGTTTCTAGACTAGACACTGCCTGCATGGACGCGTACAGGTAGAACGAGCATTCACCAGAAAGAAATGTGGGCATGGGGACCAGGTGTCGTCTAATCTGTTGGTCCTCCAACATTAGGGGAGGTAGGTCATGTCTCCATCCCAGGTGCCTGTCAACAAGGGCCTCTTCCACGTATTTTCCTCCTTCCTTGACAAGCACGTCTGCCTTCTCTTTGCTGGAAATGCCTGTGGATAACAAGCCTGGAGTTCTGGATCTAAAGCTTGGCTACCTGTTCTGACTGCTGTTTCTCATGTCAACCAAATAAACGCCCGAGTTAATGCCATTCGGATGTTTTTGAGTGCTAGTAGTTCTGCCCACCCAGAGGTACCCTGGAAGAATGACGTGGCTCCCTCTGAAAGGCCACATGCTGTGGGGTGTGGCTCTGCTTTGCAACACTTGGAGTGGTCGTAGATGGGGGTTGGCTGCACTGGGATGTAGTTCAAGGGGTCTTGCTAGGGACCACAGCAAAGGCACCATCACCACGGTCTTCAGTTCTTTGTAAGAAAACCAGCCACAAGGAACCCCTGGGGAGTTAGCATAGGATGGCAGAACTGGAAGCCAACACAGAGCTCACTCGTTTGGTCCAGGCCTTTCGTTTCCAGGCAATGAGGATGCAAGGGGTTTGCTCTAGGTTGCATGAAGCCTGTACCTGCAGAGCTCAGATGGGGTGGGGCATCTTCCAGGTGCTGTAATCAACCTGGGGCTCTTGTCTTTTACTGATGTGTGATTCACTACCCCCGCCCCCCCAAACGTGGTTGATTCTTAAGCCTTGTTCCAGGAAGACTTCAACGTGCCTTACGTAAATGTAAAGAAAAGAAGTGTAAGAGAAGCTGGACGAAGGACAATAAGGTGAAACCAGAGGCTAAGAGATTATTGCTCCAAAACACTGAGAAAGTACACCTCTCATGGAGGCCAGTTACAGATCTGTCTATAACCTTAGCAGCGGAGATGTAAAGATGGACAGGAGATCACTTAGTTTGTTAAAAATGTAATGACCTGAAATACTATGTCGGTATTGACCTATTACAGTTTTTTTTGGTTTTCTTTTTGTGTGTCTCTGTGTGTGTGAGAGTGTGTGGTGTCTTTGTTCTCTCACACTTTAGGAAGCTTGAATTCCAAATTAGGGCACCAGCGCTTTTGGGGTGGGGTGGGGATTCTTTATTGGTTGTGGAGGAAGGACCTTGTCTTAACATCTGAGAGGTCAGCATGTTTTGGAGATTGGCATCTTGTGCCTTAGCATCAGTCTTTACCTGGGTCTAGGAAGTTCTCAGCAGGGATCCATACTTACTCGGGCTCGTTTTCTTGGTGGTATCGCGACCCTCCTGTTTGCTTCTCCTGCATTTTATTTCTTGTCAGATAAAGGGTGATGCAGGCCCCCACCACCTGCCACTACCTCACCCCCCTGGGAAATTAATGCCCTGCGCAGTGGATGAGGGTTATGAGCTGAGTAATGCCATCACATCCCACCTGATCCCCGATCCCCTTACTGCTGTTGTTTGGTCACATCAGATCCCATCATAGAGATGGCTACATTACTATATAACTGCCAAACCACTGAGATCCATAGCTCAGCAAAGTTCACACACTTACACTTAGCCCTTGACCATGAGGAGCCCTTGGGGGACCCAAAGCTGGTTCACAGGAAGAAACCAGCCCTCAAATCTGGCCTTGGAACCGCTGCCAACCAAGCCACACTTTTTGCTCCGACCTGCTGCCCCTGATAAAGCCCAAGGCCTTGGAAAGTCTTAATAGGGCCTTTGCTTACTTGTTCGCAAGCTGCGCAGGCACCCAGAATTGTGTTAAAAAGTTTTTATAGCTTTAATGAAAACGGAACAGCCCAAACACCCACTGGTAAATGGGTAAATAGTGTTACCCAATGAGACAGCACTCAGAAGGAATGAGTTCTTGATCCACGCTACGGTGGTGCTTCCACTCAGGCTGCATGAAAGGCATCCCACCAAAAGAGTACCCATCATGGTTTCATTTATTTAAAAGTAGGAAAAACCAGCTACTTCAGAGGGGCAGAAAGTAGAGGTGGTTGAGAATGGGGGTTCAGGGGGGAATGAAAGGGAAAGATGACCATAGGGTGTGAGTACAATTCTGGGGGGTATGTCCAGATTGTGATGGCTTTGGGATTCATGTGGAATTTATTATGTGCCAATTGTACCTCCAGGAGCCTGTTAGAAAAAGGGTTTGCTCATATGCTAGGAGACTCTTTATTTTCCGTCACTTAGATGTGGGAGAACATTTTCCTCCGAGGTTCATCGTTTCTTGTAATCTTCCTCAAAGTAAAACAGTGACGGCCTGTCAAGACACCATTTGCTGAGAATAATTCCATATAGGATGTTGGGGTGGATGGAGAAAAGGAGGTGGAAAATGCCTTTGGGGTTTGCAGCTCTCTGCCGACCTGCTTCTAACCTGGGGCCAAGACATTCGGTTACAGTAAAAGCTGCATTCCAACACTTTGGACAGTGCTTTTTAAAAAAAATCATTTTATTGGGGGCTCATACAAGGCTTATCACAATCCATCCATACATCAATTGGGTTGAGCATATTTGTACATTCGTTGCCCTCATCATTCTCAAAACATTTGCTCTCTACTTATGTCCCTGGCATCAGCTCCTCATTTTTGCCCCTTCCCTCCCCACTTCCCCTCCCTCCC